GGCCCCTGACGCCTAACTCCGTGCGCGCCCCCGGAATGCGCGCCCCCTCCCGACCGCGCCCCCGTCCCCGCCCTGCTCCCAAGTTCCAGCGGAGTTGGCTGGTCCGGCGTCCGTCGTCGGTCGCGAAGCTGCACACTCCCTTCCGCGTTCCGCCGCAGGCCACACCTGGCCCCTCGCGCCCCCCTCCAAGTGTACCCCTAGCCATGACCAGAGCGCCCGCGCCGCCTCAGGCACGATCCTGACGGCAGCCGGGAGCGCCATGCCCAGCCGGACGGGTGCCAAGATGGACGGTAGTGGCGGCTGCGTACGCCTGAAGGTGTACTACAGCGGGTGAGTGTGATCCCCGACGGACGACCTGCAAAGCAGGAGCGCGAGCTGGCTGCCGTCTGAGCGGCGGAGAACGCGAGAAGCGCTGCTGCAGTCCCCAAGTCAGGGGCTGCCGCCGGGGCAGTGAAGCCCTTTGGGCCCAGGTGCCTCTTGGGCGGTCCAGACGCTACAGTACCGAGAGGCGGCCCCAGGCGCCCTTGAACGACACCCACGGGATCCTGGCGGGCAGGGCGGGGCCGCCTTGGCCCCGGCGCCCGAGGCTTCGGTTATTCGGGCCAAACTCCGGAGCGCAGCTGGGCAAAGGTGGCTCCCCTGGCCCCGCGCTCCAGCGATTGGACTTTGCTGGGAGACCCCAACGAGCGAGGGGGATGGGGAGGGCGGACGTGACTAGGCGTCCGGCAGCCTGGCCACAGTGCTGTTGACATTTCCACTGGAAATTTAGATAGGGACTTTTAGTCCACAAACCTTTAAGTACCAACATTTGCATAGAATTGTGAACACTTTCGGCCAGTTATAAAAGATTGGGTTTTTCTAAAGTTCTCCAATTTATTGGACTAGGGAATTCAGTTTTTAAAAAAGTGTAATGCTGCAGGTGAAGACAGGTGCAGCGAGCGTACCGATGCGGGGAGTGAACGGAAGGTTCGTAGAGGGGCTTGGTGCGGTCTGTCGGGAGCCTTTCCCAGAGATCAGCCTTTTGCGTCTAGCCAGGCGGCCTGAACTCGACCCGCCTTTCTGTTAAATGGGGCGAATGGGGTCCCACAGAGGTCAGTAGCCGAGCGTGGATCAAAGGGCTGACCCTAACTCCGGGAAGCCCCTGGTGTAGTGGAGGGGACTTGTGCCCAGATGGACATAGTGAATGGATTCCGATGCTGCCCCCACTGCATGTTATAAACGGGAGGAGCAGGCGCGTTGGCTCCGGCTCTAAGAGCCCCGAACTGAACTCGGACACAGTAGCTCGGGTAGATGCTCCTCCAAGCTGGGAGGAGAATGGATCCAGGTGGAGGAGGGCCAGCTTGCCCCAGGTGAACCTGATGGACAACTTTTGTGTCATGTCCTTACTACTTGGCCGCTGTTAATTCAGGCTGTGGTGTCTGGGTGGACAGTCGGCCTTTTCCCAAGGATAGATCCCCTCCTGGGAGTCCGTGATTCCCTCACACTGAGAAGGACCTGAGGACTCTTGACCTCTCCTGGTCTTTAGTTAGGCCCATTGGGTGGGTTGGTAACCAGACTCCCTCTCATCTCTTCGGGGTACCTTTAGCCTCTATCCCCCACTCCCCTTCTACCCCCCCCACCCCCGCCGTCCTTAAACCCTAGTATCCAGGAGTTTTATTTGGGGAATGGAGGTGGGACGTTGTTGTTGGAGGCAGAAGTAAGTTTTCTGGGGGCGGGTCTGGTCCAGCAGCACCCTGAGAGGTGGGAGTGTCCTCATATGGAACAAATCCTGGCCCTCCTCTACTTGGACTACTTCAGAGATCAGAGAGACGGCCCGTTTCCAGCCAAATGACCCCTCCAATGGAGCAACTACTAACGCTTTGAAAAGTTCGTGTGACTAGAGAGAGTTATGATAAGTCCACACTCACGCTGGAGCTGCCCCTCCATCCAGGGCTAGTTGGGACCCAAAGCCTCTCTCTCCTCAGCGCTAGTTCAGAAGATCCAGAGGCACAGTCCTCGGGTAGTTCTGGGTGGAGATGGAGGGTAGTGTTCCTGGGAGTTTTCAGCTGAGTGAAGACGCCACCCCCATCCCCTTACCTTGGTGCGGTATCTCGAAATTGGACCTGCTGACTCCAATTTCACTATCTGAGAAGGCCACGCCCCCAGCCTTCCTTTTCCTTCACCCAGTTCCCTCCTCTCTCCTACCCAGCTCCTTCCAATTCTTCTACCCCCTCATTTCCCTCCCTTTCCCCTTCCTTATTCCCTTCATGCCCCTACCCCTTCTCCCTTCTCACTGCCCTTTCTACCCACTTTATTCTCACTCCCCCATTCTGGCCCATTTCTCCTCCCATCTGGTCCCTTCTCCTGAAGTCTCCACCTCGCAGCCACTCCCACCCTTCTGGCAACTGCTTTTCCTAAATCTGCTGCCTTGGTGCCTTTCTCTGAGGGCTGGAACTCTGGGACCTGAGGCATTATGGGTAGGGAGGCCTGAATGCCTGCGCTCAGCTACTGCCGTGTTCTGGAACCTGCCGCCAAGATGGGGTGGCCCCAGATGACAGGGTGCTGCTGGGAGGGAGCTTGTCCTGGGGACGCTACTCTAGGGCGGGACTATCAGGAGCTGAGGATGGGCCACCTTGAAGATGCTAGTCTTAAAAAAAAAAAAAAAGGGGGGGGCGGCTTCTTCTGTCACCTCCATGGTGATGGCCCCTAGGTTCCCTCTGGAGTCTTAATACACACACACCCCAGTTCAAACCCACCATCCGCTGCTGGCTATACAGGGTTGCTATAAGTCGGAACCAACTTGACTGCACTTAACAACAAACTCCTACCCCAGTGCCTCAGAGGAGGAGACCCAGAGGCCCTGCATGTTTAAAGAGTTTCCAGGTGATTCTGACTCTTGCTGAGTTTGGCCTCTGTGGATGGAGTTCAGATCAAACCTGTTGCTGCCAAGTGGATCCTGGCTCAAGCGACACCATGAGCTACAGAATAGCTCAAGCGACACCAGAGCTTTTTTCCCAGGTGTCTTTGAGTGTGTTCCTGAGGCCCGTCTATTTTTATTTATTTATTTATTTATTTTTAAATGTTTTATTGTGAATTGTGTGATAGTCTACATGGGAGACCATTAGCTTTACATTCATTCCATCATCTACCATTTCATTGGCATAGTTGCCATCCCGTCCATGCATGCTCACCCAACCAAGGGGTGTACCCTGTGAGCCTGCAACACCCCCCCCCCCCCACCCCCCAGTCCTCAGCCCCTTTCCATCTCCAGATTCCGAGTCCCCAGCCACACCATCTCTTGACGTCATCTTCTCTGCCTCCATCCCAGGCCTCACCGCTTCTCTGGGTAGGATCCCGCTCTCTGCTCTTCTCCATCGATGGTCCCAGGGTCCTCTGCTCATAGACTGAAAAGTTAATCACTCTCCTCCTTGCTACAAAATGTCCACCTTTAGATTTCCAACCCTCACAATCAGTCCTGATAACAATTATTCACCATTACATCACAAGAGACCCATCTATATTTCGTTTCATTAGCCCTTCCTGGACAGGCTGGACACCACTCACTGGAGACTCTACCTTCCTCCATGCCCTTTGAATCTAGGTTCCCTCTTGAAAGCTTGTAAGCCAGTCACTTCTTGCCTTTGTATCCCTCCCCCCATTTTGGGTAGCCAATGTGCAAGTTGCCCATCCCTGTCTACCCTTTGTGTGGAGGGGGTGGGTATAGTTCTTGCAGCAGGGACTTGTTTCCTCTTTTGAGCTACTGCATTTATAGGTGTAGGTCATGTTTATCGAATTGTATCAGATGATGCTTTTTCCCCTCTTCATTCTTCTTTGGGTTCAGCTCTGTTTATCCAGTCATTGAAGTTCAGTCAAATGGACATCATCTGCAAGTGTGGGTGTTCTTACATCTGTCCGGCCTCTTTTTATTGGCTGGCTACCCCGCTCTCCACTCTAGACCTCTGTGGCTGTGTCACTGACCCTGAGCCCATGAGTCCCCAGATGTTGCCTCGCTACTGAGACATGTCTATTTTAGATTGAATTGTTGTACACCTTCAAGTGATTCCAATTCATGGTTGTTGTTGTTCTTGTTGTTATGTGCCATGGAGTCGGTTCCAACTCACAGTGACCCTGTACAGGGTTTCCGAGACTGTAAATCTTTACGGGAGCAGAAAGTCTCATCTTTCTCCCACAGAGCAGCTGGTAGTTTCGAACTGTTGACCTTGAGGTTCGCAGTCCGATTCGTAACCACTACGCTATGGTAGGCCCATGTGATAGAGTAGTCCCTGCTCTATAGGGTTTCCTGGAGTCCTGGTGTGGTACGGTGGCTTAATGCCCTGGACTGCCAAGGTCACTTTGAACCACAAGGTTGGTGCTTCAGGCTCCTTGGAAGCTCTATATAGGGTCGCTATGAGTTGGTACCGACTTTGAAGGCACTTAACAACAACAACATAGGGTTTCCTAGGTGCTGTAAGGTAAGCAGTGGACTGTGAACCACGAGGTCAGCAGTTCAAACCCACCAGCTGCTCCTTGGAAACCCTATACAGGGTCACTGTGAGTTGGAATCGACTTGATGGCACTTAACAATAACAACAGTCTTTACAGAAGCAGCTCTCCAGGTCTGTCTCCTGCTGTCTGGGTTCATACCACCAGCAGCTTAACCCTTTGTGCTACCAGGGCTCCTTCTAGGTAGAAAGGGGCCATAGAAGTGCTTGGCTGCTGGTTCTCTCCAGCTCAGAAGTTTTACAGCTCAGAGCTGGGAGCCAGGCCTTTGGAGTTGCTGGGTGGGGAACAGACCAGCCTGGCTATTCAGGGCTGAGTCCTTCTCAGTTTTGGGGAGTTGTGGCCATGGACCCTTGGAGGGGCATGAATGAGGGCTCCTGGCCATTAGACAGAAGCATTGGGATTGGGGGGATAGTAGACACTGGAGGTAGGGGTCCTGGTTTGGTGCTATAGGATAAGCACTGAACTGCTAACTGCAAGGTCAGCAGTTCAAACACACCAGCTGCTCCTGGGAAATCCTGTGCAGGGTCTATGAGTTAGAACCAACTTGGTAGTACTTAACAACAACAAGAAGATACGGGAGTTATCCCAAGTTGCCCTTGGTTGGTGTGGGGTGATACCCCTCAGGGACGGGACGCAGAGCTGCTTCTGGTGTGGGCAGGTTTGGGGGTGGAAGGAGTTTGCTGCCGTGATGAACTTGAGAGGACCTTCTGACATCCTGGAGCTGTTTTGGGGTTACCAGAGAAGAAAGGAACGACCCCTTTGGCTCTGGGCTCCCCGGGAGGTATGGGGAGGCAGTTAAAGACTAGAATCTCTTGAGGAGACTTGAAGCAGAGCCACAAACACTTCCAAGAACTGGGGTGGGGTTGGAGAGTCCTCAGAATGGGGGTGTGTGTAGCTATACTGCTGCTGAGGAGAAACTGATGATCTCAGAAGCCAGGCCCTTGGGGGTCCTCAGTGTCCACACTCTGCTGAGAGGCCTTGTTGCATGCTTTGGGAGTGCCAACAGTACTCACCTAAGCAATCTCAGAATCCCATAACTCTCCAGAGATAAGCTACTTGGCTGAGCCTCTTGGTCAGAGGGCGTGGGGATGCTGGTGGAGGGTGTGTCAACTCAGACTTAACAGTGAGACTGTTTCCAGGCTGGAGGGCGTGTCAACTCAGACTTAACAGTGAGGACGTTTCCAGGCTGGAGGGTGTGTCAACTCAGACTTAACAGTGAGACTGTTTCCAGGCTGGAGGGCGTGTCAACTCAGACTTAACAGTGAGGACGTTTCCAGGCTGCTTCCCAGGTAGTTCCTGTTTGACTGAGGGAAGTTCTGTGTTGCCCATCTGGGTATAGGAAATGGATGCAGACAGGTGTGAGTTATGCTATGTTCTGCTTTGTGCTCTGTGATCCTAGTGTTAAGGTAAGGTTAAGGGTGTGGTTGTGTTCGGGGCACAGTTGGGCATCTTGGGAGCAGCACCATGCAGGTGGATGATGGTCAGGCTAATCAGGGCAAGTGCTGTGGACAGAGTGTGCTGAGGGAGCTGAGGACACATCAGGGGATATAGAGAGGACCGTACTAGTGTGGCACTACCACTTTTATGATAAGCACTGGATTGCTAGCCCCAAGGTCAGTGATTCAAACCCACCCGCCACTCCTTGGAAACCCTATTCACTATGAGTCAGAACCAACTTGACAGCTCTTAACAACAGATCTAGGCTGGAGGAGGTGGGCGTGAGCATGGGAGAAGGTGAGAGAGTGGGCAGGTCGGTGGAGCAGGCACGTTGGTAGCATGGTGCGATCGGTCAAGACTTGAGGGGTGTTCTGTGTCCTGCTGCTTGAATTTAGGATTTAGATGTGGTTGGAAATGATGATAGTGGTACCTGTGAAGGCTGCGGTGAGGGCAGGATGGAAACCCAATCATCGACGATGATCCAAGCTGGTGTTGGGGACTGTCAAAACATTGTGTGTGTTGTTGTGTTTACCAGAAGATAACGGCTTCTACTCTGAAGTGGCCTGGTGTGGCACTGTAGAATAAGCACTAGCTGGTGAATGAGGTCCATGCCCTGGGCTGTCCTACATATGTGGTCTCAAGGATCAAGACTTCCTTTGTAAACAGTGGTTGGTTTGTATGCTGTTGAATTGGTTATAACCCGTTGTTGTTGATGTGAAGTGCCATCGAGTCAGTTTCGACCCATAGTGACCCTGTTTAGGGTTTCCAAGGAGCAGCTGGTGAGCTTGAACCTCCAACCTTGCAGTTCAAATGGCTTTGCAGTCTAGCGCATTTAACCCACAGCACCATACCAGGACTCCTTGTGACACATAGAGATGCTATATAAGGTTCTGAGGCTATATATCTTTATGGGCGCAGAAGGCCTCATCTTTCTCCTGCAGATCAATTGGTAGATTCAAACTGCTGACCTTGAAGTTAGGATCCCAGCTCCTAACCCACTGCGCTACCAAGGCTACTTTATAAACACTGTTGTCATTAAAGGCCATCGAGTCGGTTTGACTCATAGTGACCCTGTATAGGGTTTCCGAGGACAAGCTGCTGAGTTTGAACTGCTGACTTTGCGTTTCAAAGGTTGAGTGTTTATCCTACAGCGCCACCAAACACTGCAACGTCAGCCATCTTGTATTTCTTGAGTTTGGGGTGGCTGGGAATCCCTGTATCATCCTCAGCATATTCATTTCTTAGGACTGCCAGAACAAAGAACCACAGCTGGGTGGATTGTGTTGTTATGTGCCGTGGAGTCGGTTCTGACTCCTAGCGACCCTGTACAGAGTTTCTGAGGCTGTAAATCTTTTCGGGAGCAGAAATCCCCATCTTTCTTCTGCAGAACAGCTGGTAGTTTCGAACCGCTGACCCTGAGGTTAGCAGCCCGATTCATAACCACTACGCTACCAGAGCTCCTTTGGGTGGGTTATAAGAATGTACATTTGTAGTCCCACAGCTCTGGAGGCTGGGAGTCTGAGGTCAGGTTGACAGCTCCGCCCAGCTTTTGGTGCCCCCAGGCTTGTTCTTCCCAGGGTGTCTTTCCTCTGTCTCTGTTATAAGGATAGTACTCAGGTAGGATTAGGACCCACCCTACTCCACTAAGACCTCATGTTAACCCATAACATCTGGAAAGACCCAAACAAGGCCACAGTTATTAGGTCTCCAGGTCAAGACTTCAACATATCTCTTTGGGGAACACAATTCAATCCCTAACACTGTGAGGCTCATTGTCCTGTGTTTGGATGGAAAGCTATAGGACTTTCCTCATGTGACTTGGAGTTTTCAAAAAATGTGCCTGAAATTGTGTGGTAGCCACATGGTGGGGGTGTACACAGAAATCCCTCCTGAGTTGAAAAACAAAAACAAAACTAAAAAAACAAAAACAAAAAAGCTGTCCTTCCATGATTGAATTCTTGAACTGTTCCCTCCAATCCCCCTGATTCCTACCTCCTCTTCCTCCTTGAAGTTCTGATGCCCATGGATGCTGTCTCACATCACTGTTTGCAGTAGTCAGGTGTGTAGGTAATGGGGACTTTCACCGCGTGCCTTTAAACTGATAATGCACACGGTCTTGAAGCCTGGGCTTTCTCTCTGGCTCCCTTTGGTGCAGAAAGTGCATCTGGTACTGAGATGGGTGAAGGATTGGTCATTCTGACCCAAGGGTTCCCCCCACCCCCACCCCCCGGGGCTCTAACTTCACGTTTTCTATTCGGTTCACATGGTGGATAGCTATCTCTTCTCTGCATAAGGGAATTCATGGTTGTAATTCCAAAAAAATCTGATCAGTTGTTTTATTTTGTGGGGGGTGACTGCAACATTTCTTTGGGGAAAAGATGGCATTTCATCCATTTGTTGTTGTTAAGTGCCATTGAGTTGGTTCCAACTCATAGCGACCCTGTAAAGGATTTCCAGGCAATGGCTGGTGAGCTTGAACCACTGGCCTTGCGGTTCAAACCAACCTTGCAGTCTGTTTAGTCAATAATAAAAGTAACAAGTTGTTGTCGAGCTCTCTTTGACTCATAGCAACCCCAAGTGTGTTAGAGTTGAACTATGCTCCCTAGGGTTTTCAATGGCTAATTTTTTAGAAGTAGATTGCCATACCTTTCTTCTGAGGGTTCTCTGGGTAGACTTGAACCTTCAACCTTTTGGTTAGCAGCTGAGCTCATTCACCATTTGCACCACCCCAGGACTCCATTTAATCAATAACTTCATCAACCCATCATTAGTATTGCACTCGGTTTAGTTCTCCCTGTGGTGAAATGTACCGTGTTCTTCTTGCTCAGGGACATTCTGATCACCAGCCTGGATGCGGCCACCACTTTTGAAGAGCTCTGTGAGGATGTACAGGAGATGTGCCGCCTGCAACAGGACCAACCACTCACTCTCAAGTGGGTCGACAGTGAAGGTATCCGTGCAGCACCCTTCTCCTTCCCAAGTCCTTATGAAGTTTTCTTGGGGACTTTGAAAACCACGAAATTAAGCTTGTGCTGCCAGCTTCTCCCCAGCAGGGATCTTGGGGAAGTGATTTCCTGGAGAAGGATTGGTTGCTGGTGGTGAAATCAGGGTGTGATTGTACTTATGGGATGTTTTGGTCCTGACCACCTGGAATAGGGCCACAGAGGTCTCCTGGCCCCACCTGGGTGGATCCTTTCTCTTCTCAATTGACTTTCTTTACTCATATTCTGCCTTTTTCCAGTGGGTGATGGGGGACGTGAGTTCTTCATTTCCATGGGGAGGGAGGGTGAACACAACCAGAGCCTGATGGCCCTCCCCTTCACCTTCGATCTCCTTCCCACCTTTGTCTCTTTCTTTTCCTATATTTTATTTCCCTCTGTCCTGTCTCAGTGTGTGTTATTTCTCTCTTCTCTCTCTCTTTTTCTCTTCTTTCTCTTGCTTCACTCTTGATTTTTCTCTCTTCCTGTTTTTCTTTCTCTCCCTTGCTCATTCATTAATCCAACACACTCACTGTCCTGTAGCTGGGAAGGCGGTGGCTCCAGGGCCCGGGAGAGGGATTTTTTCTTGGGACTGGTTCAGTGAGATGCTGTTGTTTTGTGGCCCAAAGAACCTTGAAGACCTTGCTGTTGTCATTTCATTTTAACAAGTTTTTGCCCACATCCCCTCTGGCAGACTGTGGAGACTTGGTGTTGAAATCAGAGTCTTTCATTTCTTCCCCTTACAACAGCTGCATTAATGGGTATTTCTAATTGAACAAGAACTGGTCCCATCCGTTTTAAAGGAAAAAATGGTTTTCCTCCGTTCTCACATAGCTGTCCTCATATGGTGGCTGTCTGCCCTGGCTGGAGCACCCTTCCTGGGGTACAGGGGATGGTGTTTGCATTTCACAAACTGATGCAGGACTGGGGAGCTGGGGTGTGGTCTCCTGGGCAGGCTGTCCTAGAATCTGAATGGGATTCCTGAGGCTGAGAGGTGGACATTTTAGGTCAGGGACACTGTGTCCATGCTGTGTGAGCAGAACTGACAGACACATTGCCTGTGTGGGCAGTGGGCATGAGAACAAGTCCAGCAGGGATCCCCTCTCCCCCATAGATGTGGCTGGTGGTCACATGACCGGGCCTCAGTGCTTTCTAGGGAGGATAGACAGACTGCCTGGACATTCCTCCAGCAGTGTATATATAACTCAGTATCTGTAAATTTGTACAGGTACACACATGTGTACAAATCAGTATATGTAATGTTCTCCATTTCCAACAAAGTGGCCCCTCTACTGCTCTTCTCTCCTTTCTGCTGCAAGTAGCTCCCTGTGGCATTGGTTCTAGATACTTCTATATTCCTTTCTAGTGAACGAGAAGAAGGCTTTTTCTAGATACCTGTGGCATTGGTTCTAGATACTTTCTAGCGAACGAGAAGAAGGCTTTTTCTTTCTGTCGAAGCTTGACTGTGGAGTCCTGGTGTGGCGCTGTGGGTTAATGTGCTGGACTACAAAGTCAGCTTAAACCATAAGGTCGGTGGTTCAAGCTCACCAGCCACTGCTCAGAAACCCTATACAGGGTCACTGTGGGTCGGAACCAACTCAACAGCACTTAACAACAGCAACAAACCTGACTCTGTGGACTCTGAGGCCGGAATTTCTAGGCTCCAGGTCCTAGGCAGGCTCTTCTCCCTCTGCTGGTCCTTTGACAGGGACCTCAGACTGGGGGGTCTGCTCTCTGACCTCCCCTAGGGCAGACTCTCCGGGCCTGAACTCACTATGATGCCTTTCACGCCACCTCAGCAATGTCTTCTGCCCCTCCCAGGTGACCCCTGCACTGTGTCCTCCCAGATGGAGCTGGAGGAGGCCTTCCGCCTGTCTTGTCAGCGCAGGGATGAAGGGCTTATCATTCATGGTGAGTGACCTTTGCTTTGAGCAGGGAGGGGTGCCCACGCCTTGTCTACTGTGGCCTGTGGGGGTGGGAGCAGTGGTCACCTGGGGCTGGCACCCAGAGGCCCAGGGTTTCAAATGTTAGGAAATTAGAGCATGTTGACTTCAATGCCATGTGGGTTTTTTTTTTTTTTTCTCTCTTAACATTTTATTGACCTAAATAAAAATCCCTCTTACTGGGAAGAGTCCTCAGCATTGGGAGCAGCAGAGACAGTTTCTCTCAGAGCACAAGAGTGGGCCCTTTACTCTGGCCGTGGTTCTTATCCTCACACCCATCCTCTCTGGGAGCCAGGACCTGGGTGGGAGGACAGATGCCTGGTCCCACTCACCCTCCAGCTTTCACTGGCTCACGGCTTACCTGTTGGGCACACATGCTGGCAGGTAGAGCATTGGGTTGCCTGATTGTTTCCTCTCCACTCCCACATTGCTCCAGGACAAATTTGAGTCCTATTCTGCTTCTCTGGAGACTTCTTCAGCCTTGCAGTATCCTTCGACTTTTTAAACTCCAAACTGCTTTATAAACCAGATGATGGAACAGGTGAATTGTGAGGCTCCCAGATGAAATCTGCAAATTGGCGTTTCTAAACTGGATCCCTAACACTTGTAGGTTTCTGCAAGGAAGTCATCCTGGGGCTAGAAAATGTGTAGTTCTGTTGGCATCAGCTCTTTGCCAGGGCTAAGCACAGACCACCCAGGAGAAGGCACCAAATTGGGAAATGATCCAGTTTCCTGTCCCATCATACACTGCCCCGTCAGTGGTTTAAACACACTGAGCCAGTGGTTAAAACGCACAAGTTTTATCACACTTAATGGAAATGAAATGCAAGGGGGTTTCAAACAGTTTGTGGAAAAATGGAATTGAGAGATGATGGAATTTTTCCGCCAACTTTTCCAAGCCCTAGTAGCATAGTGGATTACATCCTCGGAAACCCTAGACAGGGGTGCTGTGAGTTGGAACCGACTCGGTGGCACACAACCACCACCACCTGACTAGGTAACAATTTTTTACCACATGAACATTCTTCACGTGTACAAGTCAGTGACGTGACAAAACAGTGAGGTCATCACATTCTTTACCTATTTCTGTTATTCATTTCTAAATCTTCCCATTACCTTTAACAGGTCAATGAGGTTTTTAACACAAAGCCAGCCAGACCCCAAACCCAACCCAACGTACAGTCATCCAGTCAGTTCCTACTCAGAGCAACCTTCAGGCTTCTGAGACGAACCCTTTACAGGCACAAACTGCCTCACCTTCCTCCCCAGGGGCAGCTGGTGGGTCTGCTGTGTTTACTGGAATGGGAAGTGCACTGGTTTTGTCTCTTCATTCTGAAGACCCGTTTGGATGCTTTAAAAATCGACTTTATTTTCCACACTGAGAAGAAGTTTGTTGTTGCTAAGGTTTAATCCTTTTGTACTTTCTTTGTTGCTGACTTCCTATAGAAGCTCAGGGTATATTTACAATGTCGAATTTTGAGTTTGGTCTTGAGTGTGAAAAAATTGAATCGAGCATGCTTTTGAAAATCATTTTTCAAAGTAATTGCAGTTCTCAGCTGATTTCCATATCAGTTTATTTCTTAATGCAAGTCAGGTTGATAACGTTGTGATCTTGAGTCCTCCAATTGCTTCCCCACCCCCTTGTAATGTGCTTTGGAGCCTATGAAATGGAATTTGGCAAGCAGAGATCTACTTGGGTTTCTGACGTATTGCCCTCATTAGCATCTCACTGGCAGTGTAGAACTTCATGTGCATGTACTTCTGGTCAGCCTCCTGTCGACTGGGCTTGTGCTGGAGATTGGGCACCCACTGGCCCACTGTGCTGGCACTAATGTGCTTCCTTTCCTTGCAGTGTTCCCAAGCATCCCTGAGCAGCCCGGCATGCCCTGTCCAGGAGAAGACAGTGAGTAACACCATGTTCCTGCCCTCATGTGGTTTCCTGGGGGGGTTTGAGCTGACCACGTGGCTTCTGTTGAAAAGATGGGATGGTACTTCCTGGACACCATGATTGAGAAAGTCAGAATTGACAAGTGGATGTGGCCCTGGGTGGGGTCCCTTGGTCTGGGGCCCTGAGCTTTCTCCTGAGCACGTTTGTTCGGCTGCTGAGCCCCATTCATTGGGGAGTGGATTGGAGGATTGATTTGGTTAGTTGGTAGCATGACAAAAATCCAGGAAATACCCTGAGCCCTCACCTCCAGTACAAAAGGCTTGGGCCGGCAGAATTGGAGACCCCCTGACCCCAGCTTCTGGTCATCTGTGGTCAGTGACCACAGCCCTCTCTCCAGTCTGCACTAGTGCCCCGAGGGTAGGTAGGAGGGGAATAGTGTCTCTCCATTTCTGTGGTAGCCCTTTGGTAAGAGATGGGAGGGCCTTAAGTCCAGCCATGAAGAATGGGATGAGGAGCTTTCTGACCTAGCTTCTGACTGCATCTCAAAGAGCCTTGGACCACAGGCTCTAGGTGGAGGGCAAGACACAGCTTGGCCTCGGGCCTCAGTACTGCCTGGCTCCAACCTGGCAGTCTTGGGACCATCATGGCCACTCACTTGGTGCAGTGACTTGGCTTGGTCCCCCTTCCTTGCTGGGACTCCGGGAGTGCTCTGACCTGATGCTGGGCTGGGTAGGTTTGGGCATTTGAGCTGCCCACTGGACTCCTAGTGACGAACTGAGTAAATAGTGTGGGTAGCCGAGTGTGGGTCTCGGATTTAGGGGAGAAGTTGGGGCTGAATGTGGAGCTCTGGCAGCTCTTGGCACAGGTGGCTATTGAAGTCCCAGGATTTTACACATTCTCACAGAAAGGTATACTGGTGATTGGCAGTCTGGCTCTGGGGCCCCCAGAGTGAAGGGGGGCCAGGAAGGAGCACCCCTGAGGCTGCAGAGCAGTCTGGAGAATGTGGGATCCAGAGAGGCAGTAGGGGTGCTCAGGGGCCCCCGAGAGGAGGTTAAAGGTGGCTTTGATGAGTCTGGGAGAGGGAGGGACACAGGGGAACACTGACCCTTTGGTCCTAGTGTGCCTTCTCAGTGCTGCTCCCCCCACCCCCACCCCAGGTGGCTAGAAAGAGCCCCAATCCTAGTGGGGAGACAGATGGTATGAAGGAGAAATAAATCATGTTCTGTCAGCGGTGACAGCTACAGCTGGGGAGGAGGACAGGAGGGGTTAGGTTTGGTGATGAGGTGTTAAGGGAAAGCAAAGGAGGTGGAGGGGTGGTCAGGACTTTCTGGATCAGATTGGCATGTCCAAATTGTTATTTGAATGGTGGTAGCATGGGAGTTGCAGGTTGCAAGGCCCAGGGGATATTTATAAGGTGGGTCGAGAGGCAGGCAGGTGCGAGGCTGGAGGTGAAGTTGGTCCCTGTCCCAAAGAGCATACAGGTACCCCCAGGCAGCAGAGAGAAGCTGGAGGAGGGTTTCAGGGTCCTCCTCCCTCTAGGACTGCTTTCATGGTGACATTCCTGTATGAGGAGCTGTCTGGCTTTGCAGAGCTGAGATAGGGGACATGCCTGCTGCACTGTGACCTACCCTCAGGGTCCCCACATCTTAGGAGACAGGCATCCCTGTGGTGGCTCACATGTCCTTGTAGACACAGACGGGATGAGATGACCTCCCCTGGGTAGGCATGGTGTCCCCTAGGTAGGACATGCTGAGGTCTCAAGATGCCCCCTGGCTGGCTCTGGTGACTCCGTGTGTTTTTGTCCCACCTTGCACCTTGACCTACTCACACCCAGAGATGTCACCAACCAGCTGTGTGGCCTCAGAACATGGGAGCTTCAGTCTTGGCTCTGCCAGTGTCCAGAGCTGGGTGCTCACTGCCTTCCCCTCAGCAGGCCTTTCCCAGTTGGTGCTCTCTGACTGCGATCCCCTTCCACTTGCTCTGCCCTTATGGGATGACAGCCATGCCCATAACTCAGCCCCACTCGCAGCTGCCTTCAGAGCCAGCTGCTGCTCAGCTCCGTCTCCACAGAGCAGTAGGGCATGACAGGACCCAGGCAGGACACCTCAGGAGGGGTCTCTGGGACGGTGAGCTTGTGGTGAGGTTGCAGTCACTGGGCAGGAATTCTGAGAATGTGGGTCAGCCTCAGAAAGACAGTTTGCCTGGGCGTAGGTACACAGATGCTTCCGATGGCGGCCCTCGCACTGTAGGCCACCTGCAGGAACCCAGTGTTGGGGGAACCAGTGATGTCTCTAGTGTTGGTCTCACCCAGTTCAGCAGTTCATGGTGTCATCCCCTCCCCCTCAACAGGTATCCTCTCGAACCAGACCAAACAGTAGCCTTAGCATTGTCTTTTGTCATCATTTATAGAAAAATATGTGATAAATATAGCTGTAGATTGCTTAAATGCAATATTTCTTAGATTATATGAATACTAATAACTGTTTAATAAAAATATTTTTGCATTGAATTGCAGCATTATTTGTTGTTGTTAAGTGCTGTCACGCCAGTTCTGACTCACAATGATGACTCTGTATGACAGGATTTCCAAGGAACAGTTGTTAAGTTTGAATCACCGACCTTGCAGTCCAAACCTACCTTACAGTCCAGTGCCTTTCCGACAGCACCACATCAGGACTTCTGTTAATTACAACAATATTAACAACTGAATGAAAGCCTTTTATGAATTTTCTCCTTTTCCTTTAATTACTACTTTATTCTCAAAAAAATTATTGACATAGCCCCCAAGTACTACTTAACCACAATACTATAGCTAAGAATTTGACACCAGAGAATTTGACAACATCAGTGACTATAAAAACAACAGTGCGTTCTTGTAGGAGTGCAGACAAAACCACATGATTCGAAGCGTCATTGTAATTGGGTAATAAAGACAGCTCTGACTCGGAGTATGTTAGAAGAGTCAGAGAATCAATTAGCATAAAATGTTTAGCTTTATCATGTGTAAGCTGGGCTTATGAAAAACTTTTTGTTATTATAACTCCAGAGATATTTTTATAAAAACATATGAGCTTCATGGAAAGTTCCATTATCTTTTTTTTTTTTTTAAAGTTTTTATTGTGACTTGAGTGATAGTTTACATGGGAGAGCATCAGCTTTACATTCATCCTATCGTATTTCATTTCACTGCAGTGATTACAGTCCCCTCCTTCATTATCTTGTAATTCTGTTTTTTTGTTTTCCCTAGGAACTTTCTGAAGCCTCTGTGTAAATTTCTGCTGAAACACTGTATACAATGTTATAGTCATTTTAATGTCACCCCCTCTGACTTGGTACAGTCTGCACCCCCGAGTGGTGCCACTGCCAAGGGGTCTGTTGAGGGTGGTTAGCAGGGATCTCTGTACATGCTTTTGGGTATCCCCACCATGGACTAAGCTGCTAGGCAGGACAGTGTGTGAGGGTGAAGGACATTACATGAGTCTGCCACCGAGCTACCACAGCAATGCCACAAAGTGGGCTGCTAAAATGACAGAAATGACCGACCCACTCATCGTGCATTGACTTGCTTAGGCGCCAAAGCCCAGGTCGTGATGTGAGAACTGGCATTACGCAAAACTGGAGGATGCGTGGATAATGACATAGCTGCCCCAATTCCACCATTATCTAAATGCCAAGCCACTGAGGATCACGGCCCAGCCGAGTCGACACATCACCTTATCCATCACAGCCAGCCATACTCTTACCTGGCACCTCTCGAGTTCGTTACTGCCAGACCTATGTCGTTAAGGTACAAAATAATCAGATAGTAGATTTTTTATTACTGAGTAAATGGGAAGTGTTGGCAAACGAGATCGTTGGTAAGTGAGGAGTGGGTGAGTTGTTCATAAATTTGCAGTCCTGGAGGTTGGGAGCCCAGAGTCAGGTTGTTGGCATGGCCATGCTCTCTTCAAGAGGGAAGATCTTTTCTCCTCTCTCCAGGCTCTGGTATCCCAGCGTTGCCTGACATCATCACATGTGGCTACTTTCCCTCTGTCTCTGTCTCTTCTTCACCACTCAGAGGGGATTCAACCCACCTACTCCAGTGTGACCTCACCTCAGCTGATAATATCTGCAGAGCCCCAGTTTCCTAGTACTTACAGGGATTAGCAAATCAGAATGAATTTGGGGAGGAGGGCCAATTTCACCCATACCAGGCAATCTCAGTGCCTTGGGGTGAGGACTGTGTGTTCCTCATATGGGGTCTGCTAGGCACCAGGGGCTACTTCTCCAATAGTTTATGCTTCTGTTTGATTGTAATGTAAATTGTGGATAGGCTTTAGGATGACCCTCTTCTAGTCACTGAGGGACTAATTTTTCATGGATTTAGCAGTTACTGCCCATTGCTGAGGACCGGGTAAGGGACAGAGACTGGTCTGGTGTATATGGCACAGGGTGGTCAACATGGGACTTAGTGGTAAATTGTTGAGACATCATTTTGGGAAGTGTTTACCTGCTGGCCCCATATTGATGCCTGAGGGGCCTAGGCCTGGCTGGTGGGGTATGCTGAGAGTGGGCAGGGAGGTGCACAGAGAGGCTTTGTGGCTGGTGAGCTCATGGGTGCCCAGCCCTGGAGCCTTACTGGTGACTGTGTCTCTCCTCTGTGCATTGTCCATTCATGGCCTGCCTGTCTGCTCTGGCTGCTCTTCACCCCACTCTGACAGGACGGTGAGGTTTTCTCACAGACTCATTATCTTTCACACAGCTACTTGTGTTTCTTGTCACCTAGAGACACTGACACTTGAATTTTGTCTCCCTGGATGGTGGCATTGCTCTGTCCACCTGGAGCCTGCGGGTGTGTCGAGGTGATGCTGGGCGGGGCCTGGTTCCCACAGTGGATGACCAGATTCACCCAGGTCCCAGTTGGATGTTGCATATCCCTGGGCCTCTGCCTTTTCCTGACAGGGAGGTTTCTGGAGGGAGTTTGGGGTATGTCTGCGGCTGACAGTAGGTCCTGGTGGACTGGGTAGTGGTCACTC